GCACCATGTTGGTGCCTCAGTCAGTTTTGTTCTGAGCTGTTTGCTTGGGCCTTTCTCACTCTTGAACATTTTCCACCTGAGCTGATTTTCTGTCCACCTCACAGTGAAAGCTATTGTTTGTCTGAGATGTGTGGCTTCCTCTTTCATCCCATTGGATTTCAACCTTCCTCCGTTTGTCTTCAAAGTTGCCTATTCCTATGTGCTGTCCCAGCTTTCATCTATGCAAATGCTGCTTTCCAACTTTGTGTCATCAGCAGATTTCATTAACACACTTGCTTTTTGTGCCAGGGTCATTAATAAAAGTAGTTAATAAGATCAGTCTCCTGACCATTCCTTGAGGAGCTCTGCTGGTGACCTCCCTCTGTTCTGACCCTTCTTTCAACACTGCTTCTCCTCTCACCAGTTTCTGGGCCTTGCACTTCTGCTAATCCCCATCTTTTTCATTTAGGAGTTTCCCACATGGCAGTCCATCACAAGCTGTGCTGAAGTCTGCGGGGATGGGATCTATCACGCTTCCTTTGTCTAGAAAATTCATTATCTTCTCAGGCTAACCTGATTAGCTCTGTTTGGTCTGATTTGCCTTTGGGACAGTCCCATTGTTTTCCACCCTGTTTAACATTTAGTTTCATGTTCTAATTAGTCTTTCTCCATTTCGCTGTGGAGCCTCCGTCCTGCTGGGGCTAGTCAATAGGCTCGTGGTTGCTCACATGCCTTTTTCCCTTCCATGGCATGGTTCTGCAGGTGCAGCGGTTCCTCTCTAGTGCTGGACAGGCAGCTGCAGCACAGTCCACCTGGTTTTGGCATACATATCCCAGACAACATTGAGTTTAAAGGGAAAGACTGGAGGCCTGGGTGCATCAGTCCTCCTGGCTTCATTCACCGGCTTGCTTCATTTAACAACAGTTCGCTTTGTGGCACTGACACCCTCCAGAACATCTGCAGCCTTCTCCATCCTCCAGCCAAGACCTGGGCTGGCAGATTCAGCCCAAGTCTGGGTCTTATGCATGTGGGCCACCTCTTCCTATGTGCCTTTTTCTGGCTGTGGTGATCCCCATGGTATCTCTGTACCTCACTTTTGCAGATAGAAACACAAGTGAAATGGTTCACTTAAGGCTGCACAGCAAGCCCAGGCCCCCCCCATGTGCTGGGCTGCACCCCCAGAGCATGAGCAGCAGCTCAGGGAGGGGATCCTGCCCCTCTGCTGTGCTCTGGGGACACCCCCCTGCAGCCCTGATCCAGCTCTGGGGAAGCAGCACAAGAGGGACGTGGAGCTGTTGGAGCGAGGCCAGAGGAGGCCATGGAGATGCTGCGAGGGCTGGAGCAGCTCTGCTCTGGAGCCAGGCTGAGAGAGCTGGGCTGGGGCAGCCTGGAGAAGAGAAGGCTCCTGAAGGGGAGACCTGAGAGCAGCTCCAGTGCCTGAAGGGGCTGCAGGAAACCTGGAGAGGGGCTTGGGACAAGGGATGTAGGGACAGGCCAAGGGGAATGGCTTTAACCTGCCCAAGGGGAGACTGAGCTGAGCTCTTAGGCAGAAGCTCTTCCCTGTGAGGGTGCTGAGGCGCTGGCACAGGGTGCCCAGAGAAGCTGTGGCTGCCCCATCCCTGGCAGTGTTCAAGGGCAGGTTGGACACAGGGGCTTGGAGCAAGGTGCTCCAGTGGAAGGTGTCCCTGCCTGTGGCTTTAAGGTCGCTTCAACCCAAACCAGTCTGGGATTGTCTAAGAAATACAGTATAAATAAGGGATGAAGTGCAATCACAAACTGATCACTGTAAAATGAGGTGGGGAAAATCTCCTTGCTGCACTACTCTGCTCAGGGATTTGCTTTTCAAGTGGCAGCGTCGACATGTGAGAATCGGAGTTGCAGAGGAAGCAGCAGTTCAGTAGCTGAGCCCTAAGTTTATGGACACCCCAAAGGATGGCGGCGGGGGCTGGAGAGTGGTGTTTCTGGGACAGGAATTGGGCATGGTTTCAAGTCCAAAGCTGTGAAATGGCATCAATCCCTGTTAGGAGCCAGGGTAAGGGGAGAGGGAGAGCAGAGAGAGCAAAAGGCAGTCGACATCTTCTTAATTACATTTGCATATGCAGCTGTTCAAACAAACTGAGCTTCATCAGTGCTTGTTCATATCTATCAGGAGACTTAGAGCTGCTGTCATCCCATGTAGCAGGAATGTACAAATCTGGTGGTAAAATAAGCCCCTGGGTATCCCCTCACCCAGGCTGTCCATCACGCCAAAAGGGCAAGCAATTGGTTGCAGTTGGATATTGAAAAAAGTGGGAATTGTGTGCGATATCCATGGGTGAGTGCTTCCAGCTTAGTTTCCAAGGATACTATTGCAGAATTAAATCATTAATTTATATTTCTGAAAATGGTGCTGAAATGTGTTAATTTGTACATTACCAAAGAGGCTCAAACTTGTCTCCTTCTGCCTTTTCTTTCCTAACATGCTCAGTGACAAAATAATTGCTCTGGAGTTGAAGCAGTTGAAACAACGGTGTTCCAGCTTGGGAATTCTGTACCACATTAAAGAGAGAGAAATTATCTGGGTTAACTGTTTGTATTAATTCTCACAACTTTGAAATTCTACCTTAATCTTTGGCTCCCAAATCCCCAAGTGAGCCACTTCTTCCCTCTCTTGCTCTTGTTATACTAAATCCACCCCAACCAGGGATGCTGTTCTGAGCACAACGCTGCTGCAGACAGTGCCCGGGTGGAGAGAGGGTCCAGCATCTGGAATCCTGCTTCACAGGCCCCAGGCACTTGAGGGACACAACAATACATGGAGGATGTGGTCAATGGAGAAATTAGTTTGCTAGTGGTTATGCTGTCTCTTCAGGGCTTTCCGAGATGCATAGAGAGTGTTGATCCCACCAGAACTTGGGGATATAAATCATTAAGAGCTGTAAGCCCAAATCTTTCTTGTTTTGCAAAAATACAGCAGGATTCCTGCAGTTGTGCTCACTCTGGCTGGAGGAAAACTGTCCTGGAGCAAAGGGGAAGAGCTGAAACACACACCTGCCCTCGGGGCAGTCACTGGTATTTACCTGAGGTGAAAACCAGCTGCTCAGGCTGTGTTGGTCTTGAGGCATTCAAATGGCAGGAGCTGCACTTCCAGCAGGAATGTTAATAAAACCATGGTGCACATGGATCCATGGTTTTGCATTGGGAAAGCACATGGAGCGGTGCATTGGGTAGAACCACCCAGAGGTGTCTGCGAGAGCCGCTGTGCCTGGTGAGCGTTGCTGTTCCAGCTCTGTGCTGGGAGCTGTGGGAAGCGGCTCGGCCTGGTGCTGGGGCCCTGGGGCTTGGATGGGAAAAGCCCCACAGAGGTTTCCAGAAGCAGCAGCAAGGAGCTGGGCTGTGGGTGCTGCGGGTGCTGCTTCACACAGTGCGTGCTGCGCTGCTCTGCCGCCTGCCCTGCTGGGACTCCTGCTTGTGTCCCCCGTGTGAGCTGCGGAGCAGAGGGAGTTTCCCACTGGATCAGTCCACAGGAGAAGCTTGTGCTGTGGCTGTGGGATCACCAGACCCGATGCAGAGGAGGGCGGTGGGTAAAATGGGATCATCCCCTTTGATACCTCTGAGCAGAGGGCAAGGCGCCACCTGAAGGAGCACTTGTAGCCACCTGATCTCCTGCCAGGACTCCAGGGGAAAAGACTTCTTAACAGGCTTCAGCTCATGAAGGATTGTACAGCTACACAAGGGCAGTTTCATGTCTGACAACACTGAGCTGGGTTGGACCCGTTACCATGAGCAGGTCCAGGACTGCGTGCTGCCTCTGAACGGTGCTTCATCACCCTCCTTTTGGTGAAAAGTGTAATCACCACCTAAGCTGCTTCTCCAGACTCTGAACCATGGGGAGTGGGGGTTTAAGTCATGGGTGCCCAGAGAAGCTGTGGCTGCCCCATCCCTGGCAGTGTTCAAGGCCAGGCTGGACACAGGGGCTTGGAGCAAGCTGCTCTAGTGGAAGGTGTCCCTGCCTGTGGCAGGGGTTGGAGCTGGAGGAGCTTTAAGGTCCTTTCCACCCCAAACCAGTCCATGGTTCTATGAATGTGCAACCTCTCTGCTTCAGAAATACTTTTTCACTTTGGATAGATGGAAGGGTCTTGTTCTGCTGCAGGATGATCAGCTTCGGGGAATGACTTTGCTGTGGAATTCTAGTGAGTACTGGGACTCACTGGGATGCGTGATGAGTTGCAGATGTGAGGTTGGACCTCATATAGTTTTAGGTACAATATGGTTGTCTTGCATCACATCCCCATTTCTATTTTAACACATAGTAGCTATTGTGTGAAACTTATCTTCCATATATTAAAAAAAGTACGCACCAGAGCATTGCCTTTCTGGCAAGGAAGAGAGTGCCAGTAGGAAGGCTTCAGTGGAAACTTCATTTTGCAAGCCATGCTTTCTAAACCCATCTGGTTATTCCATTTATCAGAGAGATGCATTGGGAAATGCTGTAAAACTTGCCTGTAACGTGCTGCAGTAGCCTTTTGTGGGAGGTGTGGCAGCCGAACTGTCCCTGGGTCGTTGTCTGCCTGGAAGTTTAATTGCATTTATCACTGGTGCCTGGATAGGAGCTAAAGAGGGAGCAGTGGGAGGCGCTCCCCGCGCTCCCCTTCCCAGCCCTCCTTGCAAGGCTCCTTCATAAACATTTTCCCCTTCTTTTGTCGGGAGCCTGACAGAATACACTTACTTTAAACTTCTTTCTTCTTCCATAGATGGACAGTTTTATGCCATACAGACAGTGCCTGCTGGGATTTTTATGGCCTATAGTTCTGTGAGCAAATGGTTTTGCTCACAAGTTGGCTGGGCTGAGATGACCTTCTCCTGTTCATTAACTGTCTGTTCAAAAATATGCCTGTGGTGGTAGCTACAGAGCCTTGATTGGGGTTATTTTAGGTGGTGCAGGGAGGTCTGGTCCTTTCCTTCCCTCCTCATTATCAAGCAAAAGTGACTGCTTAGGGCCTGGTTTATTTACCTAATAAACTGCCTCTTGTATCGTCTAGGAAATGCTCACATTTTTCAGCCAAGAAATCCTAGTAACAGGCAAACAGAGGTCCAGCAGTCAGGTCTGGAGAAACAACGAAATGAAGGTCAGTTAATATTGCTGTTATTCTCTTTCCCGGTGGCCATGACAGCAGGGGTGGTTTATTTGAAGATCCCAGACTCGGAGTCATTGCCTGCATTGTTGGTCCCCCGAGCGCTGGAGGCTGTGCCAACACTTGGGGATATTAATGTATTCTACAGATCAGTGAATGAAGAATTCCTCCGCACTCCTTTCTTCCAAAAAAAAAGGAGAAAAAGAAAAAAAAATCCTCTTCTCTCCCTTCCCCCCTTCCTCCCCACACTTTGTTTGCAGTGGCTTTGTCTGCGGGATGTTGCTGGGCATTCCTAATGAGTAGGGGAGGAATTGTGATGGGGGTCGGGCCGGTGGGCATAGTTCCTGCTTCCAGTACCCACGGTGAAGCTGTTGTAGGGTGCTCAGGTGTGCGGCAGCTTTCGCCCTGGCAGAGTTTGGCCATGGAAATAGCCAAAGAGGGGAAGGAAAAGGCTCGTTTTGGGCACGTGAAGCTCCCTGATTTGCTTCCTTCAAGGAGAAAGTTGTGCCCCGTCACCCCCCGCGCAGGACGCGATGCCTCAGTGCTTCTTTAGTATTCATCCCAGAGCCGTGGCCGCAGCCATCTCCCGCCTCACCCCGAGCAGCTGCTCAAAAGGACAAAATCAAAGCAATTCCTGCTCCTGGTGACTTACTGCCAGGGAATAACTGGGTTCTGTCTGAGAGGAACATAGAGCATCCCCGTCCCAGCGATGGAAAAAGCACAGGGTAGCTGGGGCTTGGTGGGACAAGTCTGCAGAGACTTTTGTGGGTTCAGTGGGAATAAAAGCTGGTTTCGTGAAGAGACACTTGTCCAGTAATAACGCAGTGGATTGGGGAAAGGCGCCTGAGCAGTTTTTATATATTCTTGTTCCATAGCAGGAATTGTACTTAGATATTTTTTTAATATGTTCTTTGATCACTCATGGAAATGTTAATAAGACAAAAACTGCTAAAGAGCTCTCGAGACACTGCCCTGCTTTGCAGAAGGGTGGACTGAAACGCAGACCCTCTGGAGGGCTTCTGACGCACAAGCAGCCCCTTTGTTTCCTCCTCTATAACCCAGAGACATGTCTAAAATTGGAGGGAAGATGAGAGGAGGCTGAAGAGGCCGGGCTGGAAGCACGGCATTCCCCATTTACAAGAGAAGAATCGCCCATCGGCTCTTCAGGCCGTGGTTTGATGGGCAGAGCAATGCCTGTGTTTGAAGTCCACACTGAAGGTACTCTCAGAATGGAAGTGGGATGCTTTTAGGCCGTCTTTCACTTTGACTTAATTAAGAAACTCGCAGGCTTTGTCTGGAGGGGGCCTGTTAACGTGTGAAGCTCCGGCCCCCCGTGAAGAGGGGCTGGGGCGGGAGGGGGGATGCACAGATACACTGCTTTTGTGCCGTGTTGCCAAACTGAAGACAGTAGCAAGTGCGAGCCGGGCACGGCAAGAGGTCGCCCCATGTGTGCGGCACTGAACCCTCCTCCTACTGCAAAAAGCCTTTCTTAGGGACGCAGGACCGACCAGCCGTCTGGTATGGGAAACAACAGCAACTCGTGGGGGGTAAGGAGGGTTTTGTATGTGTCCTGCAGCATCCTTCATTGGTCCTGATCAGGGTCAGAGGTTACACCAAAAAAGGGCAAACGCTATTTCTTTAGTAGCTAATGCCTCTGTGTGTATTTACAAGGGGAGAAATATTAGCTTTGAAACATCATGGGCTAGCCAGATGATGAGCTGTTGGGAGGTGGCTTTAGCAGTGGGTGATGATAATGGAAATCACCTGAAGGAATTAAACCTACCCAAAGTGGTTTGAGTTCAGACTTAAACAGGTGAGATTTAGGTTAGATATAAGGAAGAAGTTGTTCCTTGTGAGGGTGCTGAGGCGCTGGCACAGGGTGCCCAGAGAAGCCGTGGCTGCCCCATCCCTGGCAGTGTTCAAGGCCAGGTTGGACACAGGGACTTGGAGCAAGGTGATCTAGTGGAAGGTGTCCCTGCCCGTGCAGGGTGTTGGAACTGGGTGATCTCAATGTCTTTTCCAACCCAAACCATTCCATGATTCTATGAAAGTAATGGGCTTGTTTTCAAGTTTGCGGTGTAGCAAATGCGCCTGCTGTTGTCATCAGCTCCCTGTTTGCTCACAGTGGTTGCAAATAAATGCCACAGTCTTTTGTAGTATTCATGGTCTTCAGATCTCTTGATCATGTTGGTCAACACTGATTTGTTTTCCTTTTATCTGACAGCTAGAGAGAAAACTTCAATGCTGGCACTGACAGGAGCAGTGAGCAGGCTGTTGTCAGGTCAGGCTCTCTGCTCTAGCGGAGTCAGCTGCAAAGGTTCAAAAATAAGGAGCAAAATGTGCTCATCTGAACCAGAAAATGCAGCACTTCATTTCAGAAGTTTTGTGGGGTTTAGCAAGTGTCTGGTGAAGTGTTTCTTCCACTCTGTCTGAGGTGTGTCTCGAGGCATTATGGTTAACTGGGGCTACAGGCTCTACAGGCATCAACTCACAAAGACATGGTCTCAGCTTTGGTCCCAGCCCAGTGGCCAAGGTGGCCTTTAGTGTGCACCTGGAGAAGCCTCATGTCTCTGCTTCCAAACTGAACTACTTGGTCTTCCTCATGTTGCTCTGTTCCTTTTTTAGAAGACTGGAAATTAACCCAGGGAGAAGCTTTGGTACCAGTTTGGGATGGGAGAGGGAGACAGTCAGGAGATGCAGAGCCAGACAGTAGGTTATGATGGATGTTGAGACTAAGGAACTTTTTACACACATTGGAGGGCACCCAGCGAAGGGTGTCAGGGCTTGGCAGAGGCAGCTGGTGATGACAGGTTGCCAGCTGTGATTTGGGGGTGCTGTATGAGGCAGAACAGAATGGGGATAGCCTTCTCTATCAGTAATTTCTATAAAGTTGTTTTAATTCCTCAGCTGAGGAGTTCCAGGATGGTGGCTTCAATTCAGATGTGACACACATCCTGTTAAGTGGTTCCCTACGCGTGGGTGATAACTGCTCCTCTTGCCCCTTCCCTGTGCTCCAGCATGGGCAGGAGCAGGGTGAGTTTTTACTTTCCACTGCCCCTTCCTTCTGGTTGCCCGTGAGGAAGGACAAGTATTTTACACAACACGATTCTATATCACCAGGGTTAGATTTTTAACGTAACAGGCACCTTTGTGTAACTCCCCTGTATCTTCAAGGAATTTGGGAAGTATGAACTCCAGAACGAGAGATTCCCAGCTTTATTGCTTCTCCCTGCCCTTGATGATTTTATTTAGCACTGTAAGATTTCCAGCTCCTGCAGGGTTGGGTGGTTTCTAACTACTGCAGTGTTTAGAATGTCTTTGGGGATCCCAGCAGACAATGGTTTGTGTTTAGCTCTCGAGCATTAGCAAGGCAACAGTACTGCTAAAATGTTTGGGAAAAGTACCTTATTAGAGCCAAAGTGACTCATTCCTGCTGGAGAAGCGGCAGATGTTTTTCTGGCATTTAAATAAAATGCAAAAATACTGATTTCCCACCTTGATGTTGAAGTAAAGACTCAAAAGTGAGGGGAAAAAAGCCCAGTATTTAGGCCTTCTACAAAAACACTGGCAGTGCCAAATGATTCATACCGAGTGTTTTCCAGCATGTTTTCAGCATTATAAACATTGACATTTCCAACTTCCTGAGATGAGAGGATTTCATTTCTTCTTGTGAATTTTGCATTCTGTGCTTTCTGATTCAGAAACGCTGTAGCTGGGGCGGGTGTTTTGACAAGATACTCAAATCACTCGGGCGCTGGTCGAAGTTTGGTTGAAGCTGATCTCCGGTTTTTGTTAGAGCTTCAGGTCCCGCTGGGAGATTCGGAGAAGTGGGTTTTCAGACGTAACAGTGCACCTCAGCCCTTTCCTGAAATTAAAATTCCTTGATTTCTGCTCATCTTTCCCAGTGTTGCTGCTTCTGCTTTACTGGTTACTTTGGCAATAGCAACATTATTAATATTGCTGTTGGATGTGTGGCTACTTTGCCATGTCCTCTGTACAACTTCCTGCATAATTAAGTGGTTTATGCTTTTTTGCCATCACCTTTGGTATTTCAAAGATGCTCATTGCTTTGGTAGCTGAATGCAGTAATGCAAATGAATGCAGAGTAAGTTCTGTTCTCCTGTGTACTCAGCTGCATTTAAGCATTCATATCATCTTTGTGCGTGCATATTAGTGGTTAATGGTCTATGAGAGAGACTTTCTTGAAAAGGAATATCTTGAGTTCAGATCAGTCAGCCTTGCCCACTGATGAAAAGCTGTTCCTGTGCTTCACTGAGACTTTTCTACAGCTGAATCTGCTCTAGCCTGGACTAAATCCGTTGGCCTGCTATAATGTGGAGCTACTCTGAAGGCTGTGGTGTACTCCATGCAGGAGGAGAGTCATGCTTTAGGTCTTCAAGTTGTGTTTGAAATGAAGAGTTGGTGCATTTGGAGGCTTGCTGTTACATGCTGTATAAGCACTCTTGAGATCAGAAAGGGTAAATTCTGGTGCTTGGTAACCTCTGAGTTTTCTCTTGGGCTGTCCAGGCGCTTTGCTCCCATTGCAAAGGTGCAAGCTTTGCTTTGGCTGCCAAAGGAACCAAACGCTAGAAACCATCTTCCAAGGAAGGAAGAGTTGAACTGATTTTCATTTGCTACTGCCTAAAAGGAAAGTCAATGGGTACTGATGGCTTGTTGGTGGTCATCTTTTGTCCTGCTGATTCTGGCAATAAGTAGATGGTTAAGTCATCAGATTGGGAACTGGGGAGTATTTAGATATTAAATGGCTTAATAGGCTGAGCTGGTTGTAGCCTGACTGATGTGGTAGTGCCCAAAAGGGAGGTGAGGCCTGCCCGTAGGTGGGCATTCAGGTATTTTTATGGGTTATGACTGAACAAGTTTTACAATGTACAAGCTCCAGTCGCCTGCTTCCTTGCTTAATTTGGCAGGGTTTGCAGGAGAGCTGAGTGTGAGCTAAGGGCTAGTTTTGGCTCTGCTCTGCTCAGCGGCTGCTTTTAGTGGTGGTCTAGCTCACCTGATACGATGTTGTCTCCATAACTTCAAGATAGTGGGGAGGACCCCATCTCCTTTTAAAGCCTTCATTCAGCATTAGTCAAGAAAGAAATGGGGCATCAGGAAGTCAGGAAAGGCATTACTTCTAGGCAGGCTTCTCATCACCGTGGACTTGTGTGACCACTTCTGCCTTCCCTGTAGTGTTTGTGCTCTTCTGCCAAGGTTCTTGGAAGGTGAGTCCTAAAAAAGACCTTGTGGCCCTAAGGAATGAAGGGAGGAACTGGGATTAATGTGGGGAATTGCTCTCCTTCACTGCCAGGCCAGTGCTGGCTTCATCCTGCAGTGGCTGACCTGTTTAAGTAGCTCCTTGCCGTATATATTGTCCTTTGTGGAAGAAGACAGTGCTCTTGTCCCCATTGGGGTGCCTGTCTGGAGCATCATCATTGTCCTTCTGCTCTTGGAGCGCCTCAGCTTGGAGATGCTAGAGGAATTTGAGTTAAGCCATTGGATTTCGGGGACATGATCCAGAATTTGTCAAGCTTTGATGATGGTAAGTTGTGAATGGCTTCACAGTGCCCTGCAAGGTCTGTCCTTCCCAGATTGCCCTGCAGAAGTGGCTGCTTGGGTGTTTCTTCTTGGTTCATGGACAAAGGCGAAGGCACATTCTCCCAGTGTCACCTGAGGTCAAGGCATGGATGCAGTGGGCAAGAGCAGCCCCTTGTCTCTGCTGTGCTTGTCACATGCAGTCCCAGATCAGGAAACCCCTTTGGCTGTTGGTTGTAGCTCGCTGCATGGAGCAGTACCAGGTCCAGACAGTGGGATCCTGCAGGTTGGGAGCATGGGGGAGGCAGGTGGGATGAGGATGACTGGAGAAGCTGTTCCGTTGGGAGCTGGTGTTCATTTACCCTCCGCTGCTGCAGGTTGGCAGGCACCCCGTTGGGGTTGGGAAGCTGGTGCATTAACAGGTGATGTTTATCTACTGATATGTGGACATGGCTGATGCTCAGGAGGTTGAAGCTTCCACACTGTGTAGAGTCTGCAGGTGGGCTCTTTTCCCTGTTAATTTGCTGAGATGTCTTGAACTGTCCTTTGCAGTGAAGGAATACATGTTAGTCTCTTTGGTGGCTTGGTAAACCCACCGTTATTCATGGTGATTCCCAAGTGTCCCCATCACCACTGTTAGATCCTTATTACTTCCCTTGATCACAGCTGTCAAACCTCTTACA